GGGGATTTGTTAATTAGCGGGGATTTGTTAATTAGGGGGGATTTGTTAATTAGGGGAGATATGTTAATTAGGGGGGATTTGTTAAGGAGGTGGATCCGCAGGGTAATTCGTTCATTGGGGATTTGTTAATTAGAGGGGATTTGTTAATTAGGGAGGATTTGTTAAGGAGGTGGATCCGCTGGGTAATCCCAATGGATTTGGGGTTCCTCATCATCTTCTTCCTCGTTTGGGGTTAATTAGGGGGGATTTGTTAATTAGGGGGGATTTGTTAATTAGAGGGGATTTGTTAATTAGGGAGGATTTGTTAAGGAGGTGGATCCGCTGGGTAATCCCAATGGATTTGGGGTTCCTCATCATCTTCTTCCTCGTTTGGGGTTAATTAGGGGGGATTTGTTAATTAGGGGGGATTTGTTAATTAGAGGGGATTTGTTAATTACAGGGGATTTGTTAATTAGGGGGGATTTGTTAATTAGAGGGGATTTGTTAATTAGGGGGGATTTGGTAATTAGGGAGGATTTGTTAATTGGGGGGATTTGTTAATTAGGGGGGATTTGTTAAGGAGGTGGATCCGCAGGGTAATTCGTTAATGGGGGATTTGTTAATTAGGGGGGGTTTGTTAATTAGGGGGGGATTGGTTAATTAGGGGGGGTTTTGTTAATTAATTGGTGATTTGTTAATTAATTGGGGATTTGTTAATTGGGGATTTGTTAAGGAGGTGGATCCACAGGGTAATGCATTAATGGGGGATTGGTTAATTAGGGGGGGTTTCTTAATTAATTGGTGATTTGTTAATTAGGGGTGATTTATTAAAGAGGTGGATCCGCAGGGTAATTCATTAATGGGTGATTTGTTAATTAGGGGTGATTCATTAAGGAGGTGGATCCGCAGGGTAATTCATTAATGGGTGATTTGTTAATTAGGGGTGATTCATTAAGGAGATGGATCCGCAGGGTAATTCATTCATTGGGGATTGGTTAATTAATTGGGGATTTGTTAATTAGGGGTGATTTGTTAATTAGGGGTGATTCATTAAGGAGGTGGATCCACAGGGTAATTCATTCATTGGGGATTGGTTAATTAATTGGGGATTTGTTAATTAGGGGTGATTCGTTAATTAGGGGTGATTCATTAAGGAGGTAGATCCACAGGGTAAACCCCTTGGATTTGGGGTTCCTCACCTTCCTCATCCTCGTTTGTTGTGGTTTGGGGTTAATTAGGGGTGATTTGTTAATCAATCGGTGATTTGTTAATTGGTGCTTTGTTAATTAATTAGTGATTTGTTAATTGTTTCCCCCCAGGTCTGAGGACCATCGGGGTGATCACCAAGCTGGATCTGATGGATGAAGGGACGGACGCTCGGGATGTGCTGGAGAACAAACTGCTGCCACTGCGGAGAGGTGGGGACACGTGTCACCTGTCACCTGTGTCACCTGTGTGTGTCACCTGTGTCACCTGTCACCTGTGTCACCTGTCACCTGTGTCACCTGTGTCACCTGTGTCACCTGTCACCTGTGTCACCTGTGTGTCACCTGTGT